ACTTTGGGGGAAAACTGTCTGCAAAGACAACATCGACATTCCTTTTTAAATGTGTTGCTTAACTAATGCCTGTTAGTTTAAATAGCAGGCATGCAATGGCCGATTCATTCATTTGAAGGATCTTCAAGACTCTGTTTATTCCCTTTATCTCTTAATCTGTCTCCTCAGGAAACATTCGATTCTAAGGTACCTCAACTGACAGTTTATTTCCACTTTAAAGATTCTCACTGAGCTGATATAGGGAAGTAGGATGAGAGATTGTGTTTAAAATACGACATTCATGTACAGAATCAGCAAAGAGATATAGGTACGGCTATGTCCAAAGAGGTCATCAAAATGGGCATGACAAGTTCCTCACAGGTGCTTTCCTTAACAGGTAGGACGCCTACAACTGAATATATGACTTGCTGGAGAGTAAAACTGTCAATATTTCCCCTTTCTGAGACACTGTGGTGCAGCTAATGAGATTTTAATACGAGTAATGGGCTATTTTACTGCACTGTGAGGGTCTACTGTTATCTGGTAAGGACAGATGTCATCAACATGTGACAGAAAATAGACAATGTGATTAATTTCAATTGTGTGTAGGGATACACAATGGGGTTGTTATCATTAAAATCAAGTAGGTTTGGGTTTTCAAGTTATATTCAAAGTGAAGCAATGTGCCCCTGATAAAACAGAGCAAAGACACTTAGCATGTGTTCTCCTAGTTAAGATTCCCTCTCAGCAGTAATACAATGTTTCTGAGTGTCTGCTGGAAAACAAGTGGAAGGTCAAGAACACGAACAATAGATGTTGATTCCAATTATGTGTAAAGCATTGAACAAGATGCGCTAATGATGGCGTTGTCGGGAGAAAAAAGGTGTTTATGTGCTACTCTTCCAAAGCCTGCGTGGAACGGTTTATTAGGCAAAGGCTTTATTTCCATAAAGGCTGATAAGACTTCAAATGATTCACTGAAAAACAGTCCTGGCGTCGGCGCGGCCGTGTATTTATCTCTCTCTCGACGCTGGGAGACAATCAAGACAAAGATGATAGCACGTTTTGAAATGCAGCACAGAGGCATAATGAGATTGCAGCCACTTCAGGAACAAAACCAGACAAAATGTTTTGTTTTTTTCATAAATGGCTTCTAGTTTTATTCACTCACACCAAATAAAAAAAAGGCCATCATTTTCAATTAATGAAGCAGGGAATTGAGTCCGAGGTCCAGCGGGATATGGATTAACCGTGATGGCTTCAGGGCCCAATCCCACACTGAGTCTGCACCGCGGTCTGCATGGAGGAATTTCTCATTGAAGGCCTCGACTCCCCCCACCCCCCTCCCCCAAAATACCACCTCCTACCCCCAACTCATCCACTCATTCCTCATCCTAAGGTGAGTTGCTTCAGTGCAGACCGCTATTAGTGGCGGGGGGAGATAAAACTGTAAGTGTTGCTCCCAATTAGTGCATCAGTGACCGCTCTGTGCCTCCTCCACGGCGCGAGGAGGGGGAGGAGGGAGGAGGGAGGAGGCGGCTGCAGGGAGTGAAAGATTGTAGGAGGGATGACAGGAAAGGAGAGGAGCATAAAGAGGAGGAATAAAAGTAAAGGAGTGGGTTTTAGAGGTAGATAAAGAGAGGACAAGAGATGAAAAGTGACTAAAAAATGACTTAAGCATTTTGAGTGGCGAGACAGCTCCTATTAACATTTAACAGCGTTTGCGCAACTTGGTGTGGAGGTTAGGATGCAAATGAGGAGGAATTAAAACTGGCCAGAGGTTTGTCATTGATGGATTGCAGTCTGGCGCTACTCACCACTTCCTAGTGTCCATCACAGACGATTACTGTATAATTAAACCTTATTTCTGGACTCTGCGACGCATAATTACTTGTGTGGGAATGTAACCATCATCTAAAAGCTCCGGCAAAATGCTTTAGCATTTAGTCTGGCAGGCTGCAGTCATTTCACAGAGCAGTGACAGATAGAGCCATCTGATGATCGGCAAAAGAACAGTCACTTTTAATAAGAGGAGGGGGGAAGAATATTAGGCGACAGTGTGCTGATTATAGGAAAATTAGGCTTTCAAGTGGTAAAGTCCTTTGTGTTATTTGCATAATTTATTCCTTCTTTACCCCCCTTACTTCTTCATCCACCTCTGTTTTTTTTCTGCGAGCTGTGGGCAATTTCCTCTCATATTTGAATGGATTGCACATTTAAGACTACTTAAGGAAAATGATCACTTAGCATATTTTAATTGTCGTGCAAAGAGTGAGCAGAGGTGTGAGGCGAAGGCTTATGGAAGGAGGAGCCTTTAAAGTGAAGGGGACACAGTGGTGGTGTGGCAGATAACCTCGGGGTGGACACACACGGATTGAACTCGGCACACACACTCGGTTCTTTAAAGAAACACTTAGCAGTCAAATAACACGAGAGTTCCCTCAGACACTTAGCTCCTATACCATACCACACAGAAAGCGTGTCACCGATCATACTGTGAGTTTGTTGTTGGCGGTTGTGATTAGTAAAATAGTTGTTTTTTACATGTATTATAATAAAGGTTTGTGTTAACTTACCACTGAATGACACACGAGATGACGTAGTTTCTACACAATGCAAGGGTTGAGCTGAGGTCCGCCTCTGGAGCTCGTGCATGTAAGTGAGGGGCGTGGCTTTTGAGGGAGCACAGAGGGAAGGGGGTGTCCAGCCCTCTCTTTAAGTCTCTTACTTTCTTGTGTGCCCAAAATCTGTAGGAAAAACCAGCATGTCCAGTTAGTTCTCAGGTGGCTTTAGAATATTTTAAAGTGGGAAATTAGAGAAAACAGCGGCCCCAAATGACCTCTAACCTTTTGAAAAACGGTAGTTTTCAGTGATAATGATAATCAAACATCTTCTTAAATACTCTCAAAGTGTGTGGGAAAAACTCCACATTTATGTCTGGAAACTATAATCAAAAATCATTTCTGATCATGACTTTGAAGGTGGAAGAGAAAAGACACAGCAGCCCTTGATGCTCTTTAACCTTTACATTTTTTTTTTAGCATTTACATGCAATCAATTTACATGCAATTTCCGTGACAGAGCAGCTGTTCCATTATATGTAGAGTAAAGATTGCAGGTCAGTTTGTGGCTACTACTTTCTGCATTAATTCCCCCCACTGAGACCCTCTGCAGGGTTGTGGATACAGGTCATATACTGACCAGCCTGCTGCTGTAGTATTTATGAAGCTTAGAGCAAACCAAGAGGAGTGAAACTATCAACTCTCTGTCTCTGCCTGTTTTATATATTTCAAGTCTAGAGGATAACACCACATTTATGTGTGGAAAAGCATGTGTCACAAATTATTTCTGATCATGGCTATAGCATGTTTCAAAGTGAGAAAATCAAGAAAACAGAGGCCCTCGATGCACTCTAACCTCTTGTGAAGCGTTTGAGTTTCCACAGATAATTATAGAGGCTATACAGCAGCTTCCCACACCTCGCTACCAGCTATATAATGATACCTTGGCGGTGTAGTGGGCAAATGCACATCATTTTCATTAAGAGCACTCACATAATCCGAATTCTTTGTGATGGAGGACGATAATTAATGCTTTAATGTTTTTCGGTCTTGCCACTCTTACCACAGCAAGAGAAATGAATTGTTACATTTTAATGAGAGAAGCGACGGCGCCGGCTTCCTGCGCAACACGGATGATTTTATAATTGCACACAAGGGTGACTAACTCAAGGCTCATTAAGGCGATTTTTCAGATGGGCTATTTTTTGGCAGGACAATGCATTTATTTTTCCAATCTACTCGTAAATAAATTGTTATTTTTTTTATTAATTTCTCAGAGTCTTAAAGGGACATGAAAAAAAACAAGATATACACGATATAATCTCCCAAGAAAATGTCTTTAATGAATCGTTTGTTGCTGCTTGTACCTAAGATTACATGAAAATACATTGACTGCAAGTATGGCAACATATTCACACATATAAACAAGTGGTGCATTTTGTATTGTATGTATAGGTATGTACAACAGAAACACGTTACACTCTGGTTTAAAGTTGTGCAAGTGTGTTATATATACTAACAATTTATAAAATTCAACACACTAAATAAAAAAAAGAAGAGTGTGCCCACGTATATACACATTCACACGCGCACAACCACAGTAGTTCACAAAAGATTAAAGCAAATGTATTGGATTATACATTTCCGGGTCACCTTTAGGTCGACCCCAACTGTTCCTTCCTCACAAGTCGCTTGTGAGTGTGTGTTTGATGTCAGAGTTATCAGGTGTGTGTGTGTGTTTCGCCTATAGCTGGGATCTGACACACAGTGACAGAGACACACACACACACGCTATAGGCAATGCTGCAGCCTGCGGTTGCACCATCAGCTAAATGTTTTAAGTACAGTCATCTGAGGTAGACTGCGCAAAACTTCATGGTGTTATTCTCCCCTTCTTTTTCTTCTTCTCTTTTTTTCTTTTTTTTTTGAAATTTTCAATGCATTTTTCACAAATGTCTGACATTTGGAAAGACATAAATCAAATACCACGTGTGTTTTGTAGCCATGAGGTAGAAATGCTTTAAAGAGGAGCTCAAGCGTCCATTGAAGAGGAAAGGTTTCCAGAGAAAGAAAAAAAGCTAGATTTGAACACAATGTAGAAAAAAAAGGTCAAGACACAAAAGAAGGACCACAAAACACATAACAAACAAGCGTAGCATTGACCGGTGTGTTTCAAGTCGTTTGTTCGTCGGCTGTGGAGAGAGAAAGAGAGAGAGAGACGCCTGTGCTGTTGATGTGTGCTCTGAAGTGCATTAGTAGGTTTTTCAGTCTAAAGGGACTCTCTCTCCAGAGGATTTGCTGACAGAAGGAATTCTGGTACAGATTGTTTTGAGGGTGCTTTTCTGACGGACCACTCTGCTTTCCCCTTGTGCTGCCGCCACGCTGCCTGGCTGTCTTTCCTTTCCGTCAATTTTGCTGACGCTCAGCAGAACCCCCCACCCACCCTCCCACCCCCCATCAGGTGCTGCACTGACGGTGCTCAGACCAGAGATAGCAACACAGAGTGGGCCTGAAAGTACAATATGTGGCTCCTTATTCTACAATGATAAAAAATAAAATACAACAGGATGTGCAATGAAAATCTTACACTGGCAAATTAAATCTCTTTGAGGAAGAAATACCAGACGAAACAAATCAAGCGCAGCCAGAAAACAGAAGTTACACACAAAATGTTTTTAGTGCACGTACATTAAACTATCTTAAGTATTCCCATGTCACCACAGCAGTGCTAAAGGACGGCAAGGAAGAGACAAAAATACATTCCAAAGCAATACAATGGGCGAAGGGTAGCCTTCAGGGATGAAGGACTTTTAAGACTAATGCCAAAATTCCTTACTCGTGTTTCAAAGCTTTTCAGTCAATGATGCGTTCAGATGCATTTTGAATGCATATTTTGTGCCATCTGTGTAAATAGAGAGAAAACAAACTGAAAAAAGAGTCGCATACAAAAAGAATACTGACATGGGTTTGAATTGGATTAGTTAGTTTGGGGCATTCTTGTTTGAACACAAATAAAATACAACTTTACAGTTTAGCTGAGTACTGGTTGGACAGCAGTAATGCCAATACTTAGAGATGTCAATCAATTAGAATCACTATTATCAAATGACCTATGGTCTCCAGCAAAACATCAATTTACTCCTGATTTTCCACTTGTGTAATAAATATAGATATGTTAGATGTAGGGGACCAGTGACTCAGTCTAATAAAAATGACAGCAGTTGAATCCCATTCTACAGCTGATCCAGTTCAAATACAGGTAACACTTTGAGTGACAGGGCAACTTTGCACAATCCACACTTCTGTATCCCAGTTGTGATACCCATTACAGCTATTTTTGACTGAAACCAACTGCAGTAAACAAGACGTAATGAAATTAAGTCTTGTAAATCTAAGACCGACACATGAAGTAAATGTCTTTGTGTATCTCTCTGTGATTCCAATGTCCAGTTACTTTGGGTAATATGCTTTGTTTACTGTCATTACAGAGTAAAATAAGAAGATTGCTATCCCCCCCACATTCCTGTTGAATATGCCTGTTAGCTTAGCATCACACCATGTACCCCCGCTCAGTACAAAGTTATGTTGTAAGCCATGTCAGCTTGTTTAAGTTAAGCTCATCGTCTACTGTCAAAGCTTATTCTGCTATTTTTGAGAGCTAGCTAAAAATGCATTTAGTAAATATTTGAACAATTAGATGAGTAGTTAGACGTCAATCATACATGTCTGTTCTATAAGTCTTAAGCCAGAAGCTGTTAGCTAAGCAGCAAATTGGATGGGTTTTGTAACCAGTTACCTTGCCATTTCCCCCTTTACACTTACTATGCTAAACTAGGTTAACTGGCTGGTAGCATAACTGTAGCTTGCAAGCGTTACATTTAACTCTTGGCATGACAGACAACTAGCATATTTTCCACAACACGGAACAATTTCCTAGCACTAGCATTAGCCAGTAAGCTTCACATTTGACTCTTGAAAAGACAGAAAATTAGCATATTTCCCACAACCTTTCTTGGCACTAGCTATAAGCCAGTGAGGTTCATATTTAACTTGTTAATTTTTTGAAATTAATTTTTTGGGAGGGGTTTTTAGTGCATCTATCTCAGAGGATACATTTCCCCCACTAACCAGGGTGGTAAACAAATGGGTCGATATTTTGCGCAGAAGTTATCTGACAAACTGATGGAGCCTTCGTGCAGCCTGGGTATAAAAGGACACACAATATAAACAATGTTGATTAATGTTGTTTTGATAAATATACAACTCCCACCAAACCAACACCTGTCCATCTCTGAAAAGCCCCAAACAACAAAGCTGGGCAACATGGTTTGACATTTCATGAGTTATGGACTTCAGTTTTAGGATTGGTCAAGTAGACACAGGTAGCTAAAGCACCTGCCATGAGGAAAAAGAAAAGAAATAATGTATTTTACTCTCACTATGGATTATGTTCCACCATTTTAGAACATATCTGTTACATTCATTGTCACCTCTTTGCTATTTATCCTAGCCAGTTGAGGTACACTTAACACTGCTTTACTAAACTGCCAAACCCCCTCAGATTCTCCCCTCAGATCTTAGTGCTTTTCGTCAAGGTATCTTGAGGTACTATACAATTCACAAACGCTTTCCTGAGTTTTGTTTGTTACGTTTGTTTGCTTTGCAGACAGGATCAGAAGAGATGAGAGTGAGTCAGGGCCCAGACTACTGCCACCCTGATGGATTACTGCTCTTAGCAAGACAATAAAGACTGATTGACCATCACCAATGGCCTCTGTCAATCTCTGTTTTTCACACTCACCGTTGAAGTTTTAAAGCTCTTTATAATCGTCAGCTCATGCCATGAATGTAGATTGTGAGGCAAATAAACAAAGAAAGAAACTCAGAAAGCACCACTTCAGGCACTTGGATAGCCAACTAAATCTCAAGAACAAGGACATAAAGATATATACACAGACACTGGGGCGTCTCTTCTGAAGCCAACTTGCTTGCAATGTGTAAACAACGCCTGGCTTTTCTGGAGTGTCAAGCATTCAAATTAAAACTCTTGCTCATTAACTGCAAAACCGCCTGTTGTCTCTTCAAAACCAGGTCTCTGGGTGCATCTAAACCCTGCTTGTGAGAACTCTGTGGGCTTGTGTTGGCCTTCTGTGTGCCTTTCCCTCCAGCACAATGCTTCTGCCCTGAGGGGAGAAAATGTGGATGCCTCTTTTTCTCAAGGGCGGAATCTATCTTTTCACTGGCTGCAGCCGAACATTTTGTTCCACTCAGTGTACGTGTCAATCTCTTTCTGCGATATACTGGCTTGGAATTTACAAAAGACACTCTCAAAGTCCTGGTAGGTGAGTGGCCTGACCTGTCCCCGGGGCATCATACCCGTCATGTCCATGCCCTGTGCAGAGGCATGTAACAGACCAACGAGGGCCTCCTGGCAGAATCTGGCCAAGTCCAGTCCAGAGAAACCCTCAGTACGCTGGACCAGCAGTGCCAGCTCCTCCTCGCTTAAGCAGTATTTGTGCTGAGATTGAGCCAGCAGCTGGTTCACGATATGGTGCCGGGCTGTGCTGTCCGGCAGGGGCACAAGGACCCTACGAGCAAAGTACCTGCGCAGTCCTTCGTCCATGTCTTGAGGTCTGCTCGTGGAACAAACCACCAACACTTGGTTGCTTAAATCTTCGCCTGAGCCCATGAGAAGTGAGTCCAACTGGGAAAGTAGCTCCCCTTTTAGGTGGTTGATGGGACTCTCTTCACTGAGGTGGGCTGAGAGCAGCATGTCCACCTCACTGATGAACAGTACTGAGGGCTGCCTGCATCGCGCCACAGGAAGGACGCTCTGATTATTTTTTCTCCATCTGCCAGCCACTTGGTGGCCAACGTGGAACCGCTTAGCTGGAGGAATGGTGCTCCCAGCTGGCTTGCCAGGCAGCGTCCCAGCAACGTCCTGCCACTGCCCCTGGGCCCAAACAGCAACACGCATCGTGGGGCCGGTCCTAAGCTGCTGAACATGTCTGGGCGGAGAATAGGCCACAGGACCTCCTCTTTAAGGGTTGCCTTGGCCAGTTCTAGTCCTGCGATGTCACTCCAATCCACTGGGGGGCCTTGCTGAACGATTTCAGAGGTAACCATGTCAAGAAGGTGAGGGTCACTGGTTTTCAGCTGCTCTTCAGCAGGTCTGGAGGAGGAATTGGATGAGGAGGAGGTAGGCCCTGGCGCTGAGTGGGAGAGGTGAAGGCGGTGGTCATCAGCACCTTGCTCACTAAGAGAGGGGGAGGTGAAGTTGACAAGGGAATCTGCTGACCGAGAACCCCCCAGGGTGGAGGAAACGTATGCTGGTGGAGTCATTGGGCCCCCTGTCGCCTGACTGCCGTACTTCCTCTGCTGCTCTGAAGACATTGTGGACTGCTTCTGAGGATTAAAAGGTAAAGATGTCTTTTCAACGCTTCTGTCAAATCCACCCCCACTGGCGCTGTTGGAGCCTCCGTTTGCACTGCTGCTGTCTGCTATCCTGTACATGGGGCTCTCAGACGAGCTCCGAGCCTGGCCATAGCCAAAGTTACCGTAAGAGTCAATCTCTCCCTGGCCTGTCATGTAGAAGGCTTTCCTCTTCAGTGAATTAGAGGAGCTACTGTTCAGAGGAGTGGGGGCAATTGGGGTCAGGTTGTGGCTCTGGTATGGGTATCCAGGTAAAGTAGATGGAGGGGGAAGAGGTGTAGGTGCAGCAATGCCTGATGGGAGGTATGAGGAAGGTGGGGGTGCTCCCCCAGGGCTGTATCCTGGCCCTACTGAGCTCTGAGCTGGGTAGCCTGCTGGGGGGTAATTATAACTAGACAAGTTAGGGGAGCCTCCATTGTAAGCTGGGACTAAAGTGGGGTGGGAGGGCGGCGGAGGGGGTGGCTGCAGGAGCCCAGAGCTGTGCAGTGGGGAGGGAAGTGCTGGGGCGGGGGCAGACTGGGAGCTGTAACTACTGTGAAGGTAGGAGCCACTGTATGCGGGGCCGTATTCCTGAGAGGCCATGGAGGAGGAGTGGAGTGCGGTGGCGGTGTGGCTCCCACAGCTGCTGCTGGAGTAGCTAGGTTCACTCAGGGTGCTGGAGGCCAGGCCCGGAGAGCTGCACATGCCCGACACCACATCTGAAGCTGCCGCCACCCCCCCTTTTCTGACGGAAACCCCCTCAGGGATGCAGCTCATGGGGTAGACGCCATCCTGCCACGGTTCTGATTCACCTTTCCGTCCATTCATCACTCCGGGTACACCAGGCCCCTCAGAGTAAGACCCCGGCATCTCGAGAATACCTGAATACTTCTCGGCATACTTCTTGAGCAGGTTGGAGGCGGTGAGGGCCGAGATGTCATCATTGGCCCAGGCGTACTGGTAGGCGGCGGATCGCTGCAGGTGGCCAGGTACCGCCCTGTAGGCCTCGGCCTTGTGGGCTGGCGAGCGCGTGGTGGAGGAGATGTCGAAATGCTGTTCGGCCCACTGGCTGTGCTCGGGGGTCCACTGCATCTTTAAGCCTGGAAGAAATGGGGACACAGACAATGGAAGGTGAAGCCATGGTCGTGAAGAAATCATTTTAGGAATAATTAAAATAACAACACCTCCAAATTGCTTGGGATGGAAGGTGATCAATTAAAAAGGTGACATTCATCTGGAGGCTTGTTTGCTGTGGATTTTTATTTTGATCTACGTGACTCATAAAGAGAGGGTATTCTGACTTAATTTGATCTATTCCACTCCATTGGATGAGGCAAATGGCTGTCCACCAATAGGCCAGTATGTTGGTCTAGATTTGCTTTATGCATAAAATTTCATGACACATGATAACTTTTATTATGATTTGTTGCTATATGAATACAAATCGATTGATTGACTGATAAGAAGACTGCAGACTGTCAGCAGGTATAGTGTGGTACAGAGGGATGGTGGGATGGCTGGTTACTGCAGCCTAATGCACCCTGGCCAGACCAATAAGACAGAGGCATTGAGGGTCACTCTATAATCCCCGGCTCATCTGAGGTGGCTGAAGATGGGTTTGAAAATGCGCCTCGCCGAGTGCCACAAAGCAAAACACACACACCCATACACAGCCACCCCCCTCTCCTCGTGGCGCTTTCATCCAATACACACACACACACACACACACACACCCTTGCTTAGACACACAGGCGTTTAAAAAAAAAACTATCTTTGCCTGCACTCAGGCGTGCTGACGTGCACACACTCACACAAGCTCACATCCACTGACCCAGACGCACAAACACAGGCACGCACACAGGAGCTGTAGCGAGCAATGAATTACAACACATTGTGTCTCAAGCTTAGTTCCTGTCTGCACAGCTCCACCTTGACCTCTCTCTCCACCGTTCTCTTTACCTTTCTGTCTGCCTCTCTTCTTTATGCCTCCCTGCTGCCTTCTCTTTCCCCTCAGTGTCTTCTCTTTGCTTTTTTCTGGTCGACCATTTTCCACCACCCCTCCTTCTAGATCCTTCTTTATTCCTCTTCACCTCCCTTTATTCTGACTCCATCTATTTTGATATATATCTCTTCTTTTCATTCCCTTTCTGCCTTCTCTCTGCAGCCACCCCTCCTCTTATTTACTCCCTCTGTGCTTGCTTCCCCTCCTCCCCCCTCCTCCCCTCCCGCCTTCCTTGCTCCATCTCATCTCAGACACACTCACCTGGCTCTCCCCTTTATTGCCTCAGGAGGCTAGAGAGCCACTGTTTCCTTTAATCCCAGCCAATGCCATCTGCAAACACTGACAGTCACACAGCGACTCCATCGTTGTCTCACTATCAAAGCCGTGGCACTATCAAAGGCTGGACGGGGCGTAATCACAGCAGCCGCACGGCAGATTGAACCCCGTTTGATTTGACTTAGTGCACACAAATAAAGGATAATATCGGTGTCATTTAGGCTGCTTCCTCCGACTTATTGACTGGCAGCGGCTGCATGTAGAGATCCACAGTTGGGGGTCTGGTGAGCAATCCCTGCTTCGGAATTGGTTTATGTGTGTGTTTTTGTGTTTGTGTGAGTAAAGCAGGCATGCACAATGAAATCCATTCATGGTGGAGCACATCTTCCTTTCCTCCCTTCCATTTATACGAGCACAAACACAGACATGCACGCGAAACAAAGCACAGGCACTAACACATACACGTTCGCACTCTCTTGCTCTCTTTACTGAGGCCCTGTGTTTGTTTGGTAACAACACAGGGAAGGAGGGGGGAATCCCCAGACTCCTATATTTCCTCTCTGATTCTCCTCTCTAGCCATCTCTCGGCAGACGCCACTGGCTAATTAGCAGAATGGCGATCTGCTAATTGTGTTAATTTACAACATTTTAGCCGAGGGGAGTCTAGCAGGGGCTGGCAAGCCTGTCACCCTCCCGGTGTACCGAGCAGGGAACGCCTTAGACAAAGAGCTGAGGAGAGGAAAGTTTTGTATTAGCTGGGAGGCTCCTTTAATATTGAGAATACATTAAGTGGGAGCAGCATGATAAAAGGGCAGTATTTCAAGGAGAAAATTACAAGGCTGGAAAACTGGACAAAACAAGAGAAAATGAGGCTGTGGCCACAAAACAACAATCTTTCAATAGCAACACGGCTTGTAAACAACACAACACTGTACCTATTTGAAAATATAAATAGCGAGGGTCCTTACTAGGTATAGTAAAATATATTTTTAAAATGGAAGACACATTTTATTCTGTTATCCCTAATACATCTCAAACACAGCATTACCAAATATAAATCATAAATTAGTATCATTATTGAGAAAACAATTCAGGCTTTCAAAGATTTCCCTGCTTGCAGTCTCGAGGTAGATGTTTGATCTGTGGCCTGAAGCAAAATACAGAGTTCTGTCTTCATCATCTCTTCCTAACCCACAGTCCATCCTGACAGTAGTGTCAGAAACTACAGCACAAGTCTTTTTAATGGAGCAGTCAATAACATTTCATTCAGTAACCTTATTACTGACTAACACTTGTGACCAACGAGTGACAACACTGTCTTCAAGTACTCGACCTTGTCCATATATAAGCAGAATAATGAAGTCCCATTGTGAGACTGTGTGGAGAGAACGGACTTTTATGGTATAGAACAGCATCTAAAAACATATAAAAGTCAACATAAGGATCTAAAACGACGAGTAATCGTTTGCTCAGCCCGTTTTTATTAAGTACAAAAAACAAGCTAAGACGGACTGCCATCAATTTTACTGTGGTTGTGAAATACATGTATTTATGGTTATATTTTGTGTTGCTGTTACTAGCTGGCTTTTCCATTCTTGATGTTACAAAAGCATGTTTAAAAAATGACAGCTAGAGTAAGTGGTCATCCACTTTGAGCTAGCTGACGCACCTCGCCCAAGCAAACACCTCCGCTGTTGAAAAATAGCCCCGATGTGAAAGTGCATAAAGCTGCAGTTCCCCAAGTGTCCACTGAACCAAAAGCACTGGAAGTGCTAGTAATACCAATGTTAAATGCCCATTTTGACAGCAGGAATAACCATGTGTAAAGCCTGGTCTCTCTGTATTGGTTCACACTGTACATGGGGTGACACTTATATTTATATAATACAATATACCATGTGTTTTTATAAACTAGTGTGTTCAAAAATAAGTCAAAGACTTTGATTCAACACTTTCTAGGGGCACAAAATTAGCTTTTTCCACGTTTTCATTATTTCCAATCCAGTCATTTTCACAGTAGCATAAAGAGCCGACCTGTGCAGATATATAATGTTAATACAGTATTATGTTACATTGAATATTTGATGTTAAAAAACCTGACATTGCAGGGAGCTGATCAGTTTCGTGCAGTCAGGCGAAAAATTAGAAGCTACTGACTACATCCTGCAATAAGGTTGTTTCAAGACAATTATCAGTTGATTTGACACATCTCTGCCGACCACAACGCTGCACTGCATTACAGACAAGTGCAAATATTATGACGTGTTAAGATGGATGTGTGTTCTCGCTGTCATGATGAATTGGCCTGTTTAGGCTTCATTTTTAGTGCCAAGGCTTTGGTTTTTGCTTCTCAGATCAGGGATGCGTACAGAGAGATGGACAGAGACGGGGATAAAAGTGAGGATGGAAGAGAGGAAGCAAGCTCTGGAGGGAGACTGGGGGAGGAAGGGGGAGGGCAGAAAATAAAATAAAACAAGCCTTGTGAATCGCACGCATTCGTCTCTCCACATAGTTTGACACTCCATCAAACTCGGATGTGTCCTCCATTTAAAGAAACATGGATCTTTCTAATACCGTCATTAATAAAGATAACATATATAAAAGAGTGTGTCAGCCTCCATCAGGGCTTTCATCTCTTCTATAATGAGGTTAATGCAGAGACGCAGTGATTACCCCAGCAATGCAAATGAAGGCCAAATGATAACTTGCACTATTTAAATAAGGTAATAGCGATTACTCCACGTTATTCAAATGAGGACGGAGGCTTTGAACTGAGCGCTTTGAACCGGCTGCTCCTTCTCCAAAACATATGAAAGGGATGGAGGAGGATTGACTTTGGACTCATTCACTGTGTATCCTTCTAATTCAATGTGATGTAAACCAAGGGCAACGAGTGAAGCAAAGTCACGTCATGTGTGGGGGGTGCAGGATGGGCGGGGTCAACCACGGGAAGAAAAAAAAAAAATCAAGGTAGGCTGACTTGCAACTCACTTTGAAAGACCTTGAAAGTCGCTGAAACGCCAACGAATTCAGTGTCGGAGAGGAGAACAAGAACTCAATATTCACATTAAAATCAACACAAAAATTACCATTAGTGCCGCCAACTCCTTTCAAAAACTTTCAAGGCCCTTTTTTCGTTAGAAAAACAGAAGACAATTTCTACTTTACCGAGCATTCATGTTGAAATGTGTGTTTTTTCTTAAACAGCCTTCATGAGACTGCATGGAAAGGCTTAAGAAGTCTTTTCACTCATTGTTTTAATTTTTCTGATTTCAGCAACCTAGTGAGGCGACAAGATCCAACACTTTTTTTGAATCTGAAGAGTGGTTTTTAAGGGCTGAGGGAAACTTGCGAAGGCTTTCGGACGGACACATGCAGCAAAAGATGAAAAAAAAATTAAAATAAACAAGAAGAGATGTGTTTGTGTTGCAGAGAGTCGGAGAAAGAGGGAGGGAGAGGGATCGTGCACTCAGCTGAAACAACATCCAACAGAAAATTCTCCACCTTCTGAAGCGTCAAGTCTGCCAGCACCCTTTTTTTCTCCTTCCTCCTCCTCCTCCAGCCTCCACATAGAGACGCCTAATCATTCTCATTACACTCGGCGTCCATCTGCATCAACAGAGCTGCCCATTACTGTGCGTGTGTGTATATGTGCAGTAAACAGCTCTTTAGAGAGAGCTAATGAGCTCTTTTAACTCTGTCCGCCGTGTGATTCTGCAAGCGGGGTGTCAGAGCAAACTGCCCATTTTGGTAACGTCATAATTAAGCCGCATGTGTGTGTGGAAAAGACGTGCCAGCACACACGCTAAATCTG